CGTCCAATAGAAATCCATAAAAATTGATCTACGGCACGTGATCTGAGAATTTTTTTCGCCATGGCTAGGGTACTATGCAAGTGCTTGGCGACGCCAATGGTGCACCAAATTGGCAGGTATGGTGCAAAGGTGGCGAGCCAATCATATTTAAATTTATTTTATATAAGGGAGCGTGTACGCGTAATACTTTTGAAGGATAGGTTCAGCTTTAGCTCGCAGTAGGTTAACTGTAAGAAATATAATATTAATTAATTGAACCCGAAAGTTCCCAATGTAAACAGTGAATGAACACACTAAAAAGTGGAAGTAATGTCCGAAAATATCTGAAAGTATAGGGTAATATAACTACAAGATATAGTTGTAATTTTATGTTTTGTCGAAAGTAAAACAAAAGATAGATATATATGAAGCTACTAACATTGTGTAGTATAATGGTGCACAAGCACCAGAAGATCTTGTTGGTATATATGTGGTGCATCAATAGAATTATAACTGCACCACCAACCCTGTGTGTAAAGCCCTCAGATCATGCCACGTGGAGGTCAGTGTCCCATGTACCATATTAGATACAGATTTGTTGGAGAGGGTGAATGATAAACCCAAAAAACTAACGCCAAATATCTAAATTAAAGTTTTCAAAAAAAAAAAAAATTGATGAATTAGTTGATGAACTTAAAGAAAAAGAATCTATATACTCAAAAAACGTTCATATATCCATCATTATAATGAATGAGTGAATGTATATGTCGAAATTTAAGTAAGTTTAGAAAGATGATGAAGTCGATTAGGGACTAGATTAAGGATGTGTAAGGCAATATTTGCCTTACTAGTTATTATGACAGTTATGACAGAACATACAGTACAAATGCTTCAGCCATCGTTGCCTCAAAAGTCCCATTTCGGAATAATCTAAAGAGGGGGCTTATTATGACACCTAAAGCTCCAATCAATTGTTGGGTTTTGAGGATCATTTCTAACAATTCATTAACGGCTAAGCAGCCCAGGGCTGGCAATAGACTATAATGGCTCTGAAAAAATGTCAATGGACATTGTCTATTGGGTACATGCTAAGCCATATTTTTGGGTCCATGGCTCAACCCTGGGCTGAACGACTTATAAATTTAGTTAAAAAGATACAGTATAATGTAATTCAATAGCTAATTAGTTGCTTATATACAGTATATATATCGTATATTATTTGCAATCCAATTTTTACATTGAATCAAATTCTAGAGACTTCACAAATAATGTCAATAATATTTCCATCACCTGGCCCACTAATGAATAAAAAGAATAATAAAATTAAATACTGTATATGCACATTATCTTCAACTAACTAAAGAACTTATAAGTTAGAATATATTTATTCTACGACAGTGCTTTCAATAATTAGAATGTATCCTATTCACCATAAAATCCCCGATGCCAAAGCATACCGGAGAAACTATAAAGGGAAATGCGTTCGTTCACTGTCGAAATAGTGGCCATGATACACTTTCATTCCTCTTTCAACAAATGATTCAGCGAAAAGCTCCCCCTTTATTTGTACATCGAGTACCTGCCCTCGTTAGAATTCTCTCAATTTCAAGTAACAGACTTAACAGTTAATGAATCTCTAATTCAGTAATTGCAATTTTAATTATTTCGAGCAACGCCATATGATTTGCTAGTGATCGATCATTATTTGAACTGCAAATAGTAGATCCATAAAAATTTGAAATTACGCAATAGGAAATCGAAAATCAAAAAATCATGATGATCAGATCGAAAAAAGATTAACAACGCCAATCAATAAATAGTTAATGAGTAGAGGTCTGGGCCAAAATCAATTTTAATGAAAATCTGCTCTGATAAAAAAAAAAGTTACCAGTGTTTAACATTTAAAAAATAAAGTTGACAGAATCGCGAACTACACAATACAATTATTATGAAATTTTGAGATACGTATAAAATAACAAAAAAACAGACTACAAGCACTTATATAATCACATTGCAGCATTGGCGTATAACATTAAATATGTAACCTTGTGATACATATGAAGTTGGGATTTTCGGATTTATACTAAAGTTGGTAATGTTATAATGACATTTTACTTTATTTGTCACTTATTTATATTTTTATATTTATTATGATTTTTATGTATTAAATTTATATAAATACATTGACTCAAACTCAAACATATTTAACCGTACTGTACTTTTCTTAGGTATACTATTTTAAATAAAAATACACAAAATTTGCCAACTTTCCTAATGTCGGTTTCTACAACTTATATTCGATTAAATACTCGATGGTCAAAACGATCAAAACGTATAAGACGTTTAAAATGTCATTCTTTATTAAGGACATTATTTACTTTTACTATTTTTTTTGGTATAATTTTTTTTATAATCTGTGACTTTAGATTAAATATTAGAATTTATTGGAGGGATTGGATTACACATGAAGAATTTAAACATGAAAATTTAAGTAAATGTTTTGATAATATTCCTAATAATTCTAAACCATCAATCGTTTACAATGACATTTTAACTAGCTTACCTCTTACTTATGGTTGGGATTGCTATGATTTTGCAAAAAGCATAAAGTTAAAGCCTGGTCAACCTCGAGAATATATAATTTACCATTCTTATTGGCGTGCTGATCTACGACCTTTTGGTGATAAACAGATCGCTACGTTAAAATCTTTCTTTGCTACTCAGGATGAAACATTTTCTTCTCTTATTCTTTGGACTAATGGAAATATTTCGACTGTTCCTTCTCTTAAACTGTTACTAGAACGTTATCCCAATCGATTCGTAATAAAACATTATAATGTCATGATAGAAAGCAAAGAAACTCCTATGGAAAATTCTCCAAATCTTAAACTTAATGATAAATTAGCTTACCTTGATGGTGACTTGATTAGACTTCTTGTTTTATACAAATATGGTGGAATATGGTTTGATATGGATTCTCTTTTTGTACGTGATTTTTCTCCACTCATAGAACACGAATGGCTTGGTCAATGGGATTGTTTTATGCCAAAGGGTTATCCTTTTAATGGTGCTTTTATGAGATTTCGAAAGGATTCTCCTTATTTATGTGAATTCCTTTCCGAAATGGCTAATGGACCGGTTCCTAGTAAATCTTCAATTGATTGGGGTGGAAGACTTTATTATAAAGTTTTTAGGCGTTTAATTCAAAATGGAAAAAAACCTTTCGGAATGATTCCTTGGTGCTTTACCGATTCTTACTTATGTAATCCATCAAACTCGATGCCTAATGCTTTTGATGAGTCGAAATTTGATAAAGAGAGATTATTACAAGTATTTGCTTTTCACTGGCATAATCAATGGGATAAGAAAAAAGGAAGTTTATTTAGATTTCTGGAGCAAAGAAATAATGAAATTCTGGGATTTTAACCAATTTATCAAACATTATAATTTATAATTATAAATTTTGTTAATAATACTTTCCAATCTGATTTTCGTTTGGCTGCTGGTCCACCAAAAAAAAAAAAAAAAAGTGTAAAAACTTTATTATGGATACGTTTAAACGAGATTTGATTATAAAATTGAAAAGATGTGAAATAAATATAACCATTTATTTCATATTTATAGACATATTTACATTAAGTAAATAATAACAAATACAGATACAAAATAAAAATACAAATACAAATAAACCCTCTTGGAAATTTTTAATTTGATCTAATGTAGTATAATCATACTTTCGCTAAATCCCATATCAACCAAAGATTGCTCAACGGTAAATACCATTTCAGGCGGACCACAAACTACAATTTTTCCTTGTATCGAAATACTCCCCCTTGAATTTGTTAAACCTGAATCAATGCTTGTTGGTCTTCCTGTTCTTGTTGATGCTTTTGATTCGGGCCTAGGTCCCATATCAATTATACTGTCATCATCATATTTCTGATAATTATCATAATTGTCAGGTCGTATATGTGGATGTTCTACTGGAAAAGGCTGTGCATCTGTTGATATGTATGGTATAATTTGTGCTGCTTCATATTTTGCCTGTATATTCTTTTTCTGTTCGGTTGCATCACGGCGTACAGAATGACTCTGAAGAATGTTCAAATAATTGTTATCTTGTGCTGTCAATTGAGTATTGTTTTGTGATTCGAGGAGTGCACCCCGCATTATGTCCATCCAATCTAGTATTATTGGTTTAGTAATTCTTCCCTGTAAACCATCCCAATCTGAAGGTGGTTCCGAGAGACAGTACGTCACAGTAAGTTGTCCTCTACTTGAGAGCGCAAGATCTTCAAGTAATATACCATCGATAACATCTTCAATCGTACGATTTCCATATAATAAATGCATTCGTTTATATTTAAAATATTGACCAGATTCATTTTTTTGTTTTATCGATTGTTCCAAATGATACTTGATTAACTATTATAATTAATGTTAAACAAATGTTATTTTTGAATACCAGTAAGGATACTTGAGATAATACATATATTAAAAATTACCTGCAACATTGGTGTTATCCCTGTACCACCTGAGAGCGAAAAGAAAAGGTTATTAAGAAAACTGTAAGATTCACTTAATTAGAAATCAAAAAAAAAAAAAATACCAGCAAGCATGTATAATTCGTCCCAACAACCATCCGGACTATCTGGGTTTAATAAAGAAGTCTTTAAAGTCTTCGTTGATGATAACATTCCAGTAAGTTGATTTGGGGTATAAGGGATATAAGTTCTTGCATTTGAAAGTAGACTCTCTCTCCGAGATAATGAAGTTGTGGACGCAACATATGACTTGTGTCTTTCAGAAACATCAAATGGACCGCGTGCTTGAATTTCGTATCCTATTAACTGTTCATTCTAAAAAAAAATGATAACCAAACACTGTTATTAAAAATTTAAAGAAATATTATTTTTTAAAAAAATGTAAAGTTAAAAATGTACATACTAGGTGCTGGGAAAAGAGTCCTTTTGGATAAATCTTGACATAAATGGAAAATGATTTGGATAGACAACCTTCTAAGGGGGTGTAACTTCTAATCACAATTTGGCCACGTACTCTAGATTGCACTTCAATGTAATGTCCAGGCAAAAACCTTTCAGCGTAAACATCTTTTTCACCTTTATGTATTAAGGAATATGTAAATCTCATTACAGGATATTTGACATTTGCGTTAACCATTTGTTTACTTATAAGTTTATAACGATGAAATTTGATAGCTTTTGTGAGATTTTTATCAATTTCTATGGACTCGTCTATACTTTGATAAATAGACTTATCACTTTGGACCAAAGGCCCTTTTTCACTCCCGCTTTCACTCATCTTGCCTATAACCAGTGTTGCCATTTTCTGTGTAGCAAATCTACTATGAGTATGTTGTGCCAACGGTTCTCTTAGATAGAATTTTCCATTAAAGTTGTCAACAAATTTGGCAGCTGAGAGTCTTTTTGGGGGTGCAGGTTTTCCTCGAAGGTGATTTACATATTTTGCAAGCACAGATGAAGTATTTCCAGAAGGTACATCTTTTGGAATTAATAAAGCCTCGGGAGAATCTACATCTTCAGCAACTGGTTTGTTTTTGTGTGTATTGTAAAAATCTATAATGAAAAAAATACGTATTCATTTACTAATTCATACTTTTTAGGTTTGTAGGTATATATTTTAAACAAATATCCGTAGTAATTCTTACCATTCGTAATATCTGTTCCAATAACCTAAATAATAATAAATCGTAAAATTAATTGCAATTATCGTATTTTAATAATTGATTTATAGAAATAAACCATTAAAATATTTACACGCAATAATATTTGACTTCCTCCTATTATTATATAAATTTTATACATTAGCGTTAGTTATCAAAATTTACGTATAAAAATTGTTAGCTGAAAAAAATTAACCTGGATGAGAACTAATCCAACTGTGGACATCTACCACAAGTCCGTCGCAAACAACCAAAAAAGCCTAAAAAATGAACGGTTTATAGGTTAATTATTTAAGCAAGCAAGCAAATAATTATAGTAATTTTTGAAGGCAATTTATTAGTCCATTTCAATTTGGCTAATCCATTAAGAAAACTTTCAAATAAATCTAACTATAATATTGATTGAGATATTGTATTAATATTATATTTGTAATTTAACCTACCCCACGCTGAACTCGTTCATTGATTTCTTCCCAAGTAAATTCTGGTAATTTTATATAATCTTCATGATTAATATGAGTATGCATCATCGCTTTTTTCTCGGCAATATCTTTATCTTTAATACAAAATAATCGGTGAAAGAATCCTTCAATACGCCACCAAAGGTCTCCAATTAAGAAGATAATTATTATTAACAGTATCCAAAAACCGTAGCCAGTTTTCCACCAAAACGAATCACTAATTTTAATAAAATTCCAGGTTAAAAATGATAATATTACGAAAAATTATGATATGTAAAATATATTGAAAGTATTATACTTACTAGCCATATGAAAGGCAATAGGTATCAATTCCTACAATTAAAACGACGATTAATATAATATTAAATATACAAATTATATATGATGTATATAATTATAATCACCAAGATATATATTAACCCTACAATTTTATATGGATACATGAAGAAAAGATAGAAAAATATAAATATATATATCGGAAAAATTAAAAACAATCTGTAAGGGTGATTATAAACATTTTACCATGCTGCTAATAATAGCGTTACACCAAAAAATTTATGAAGGCGTTTTGTAAATCTTGGATACCCCTATAATAAAATGATTTAACACGATTAATAAATTATTAAACAAAAACATTGACATGAATGTCAAATATTAAACAAACCTTATTAACTGATACTATAGATGATTGTCCCCACATAGCGACTACACCAAGAGCTATAAAATATTCATCAATTAAGTTAACTAAATTAACTAAATTCAATTGTCGAGCTTATGTTAAATGAATAAGCACCTAATTCAAAAAATGCCGAAAAATATATAAACAGTCCCAACCTACATTTTGAAATCGTTAATATAAAATAAATGATAGTAAAAGTAGAAAATAAATATAATACCAAGCATGTGGTGTTTGTGTCGTCACCACCGTAGAAATAGCAGCAGCACCGAATGATGAAACTGAAATACCACCCACCACCTGCATAAGCCGATGAGCCTTAAGATGTTGATCATGATGCTATTAAAATAATAAAATTTATATAAATTTCATATATTAATCCATTAATCAATGTGACGGATAAGATATCTGATGAAATTCACGTGACCTTGCGAAACCATATAGTTTCGCCATAGTTTCGCGTATAAAATCCGGGTTTAACCGGTTTTATGTGAGGTAAAAAAAATCCATACCTTCCAGTACCGCACAATAAATATTGATATTGGAAATAATATACTAAAAATTATATATCCATCAGATAATTATTTAGTAACGTAAAAATATTCTATATTTTACCTACCACCATGTTAAGAGCATTCCGCAACCATGAATTAATCTAACTATCCTTTGAAGACCTGTTGTAGATGCAGAACTAATTTGACTATTATAAAAGTTTACTCGATTCAAAATGCGATTATTTTGATGATAAGAAAAAGCATTGCTATTTGGATTATATGCCATGATATCTAATGTATAATAATAATTTATAAATAAATATTTTAGTTCAAGATTGTAAAATTGAAGATAATATATGCATATATTATGAAAGTACTAGTGCTACAAATCGTCAAAAATTTTGCAATCGATTAGTTGTCAACTTTTCGATTATTCGATTTTTATTCGATTTTAATATGAGTTGCCAAAAATTTTTCAATCGATTAGTTGTCAACTTTTCGATTAGTTGCGATTTTGATTTTCGATTTGTAGCACTAGAAAGTACAGTATAACAAATAATATAAAAATTAAATAACACACATTTCATATCACCATGCACAATTGGTTTTCTTCCTGGCGGATTGAGAGGTCTTTTGAACTCTACAGTCACAGCTTTGCTATCAGACATAGAAAATTTTGGTACAAGAGTGGGATCTTGATCAGAATCTCGAAGGGGTGGATGGTATCCACCTACATCAGCATGATAATTTCCTAATGTGACGTTTCCATTAGTGACCTTTAATAGAATTAATAGAATAATATAAGTTTTTTGAAAAAAATGATATGCCTTCCTTGTAAGATAAAATTGCATGTTTTGAAAGAGACTTACAATGCCAATTATAAATTCAGCTCCTTTCATTCCATCATCATCCGGACTAAATCCCTGTAATATTATTAACGTTAATATAATTAATAAACTAAAATAAAAACAGATTCAAAAATAAAAATAAACATACAGTAAACTTACCATTCCAAACCAACCATTGCCATCAGAGGTTTGTAGTTGAACCTTGAAATATAAATAGTTCAAATCTACTCTAAAACTAACAATATATTGAGTCCAAGCACTAATCTTGGTTGGATAATTATCATCATTACTATCGTTAAGTTTGATTTGAGGCTGGACGGACCAAATATTTTGAGGAAAGGTTACGCTGTTATTGATGTTACGAAGAATTATGTCTCGAAGTGTCGTGTTTCGTAAGATTTTTCGTTCATTATCGGTAAACATATCAGATTTCTCGAACCAAAAACTATCAGAATCTCTAATATTCGTATACTTTAAAAAAAAAATTTATTTTTTTTTTACACGATGAACAGTTAAAAAATTCACAAGCGAAAAGCGAAGCATATAAAAGATAATTACCTGCGTCACCATACTCGCATTCATAACCATACCAAAGTTTGAACCGTTTAAATGATCTTCACTCATCACACCAACCCACGATTCTACGGTTTCAATTCCTAAAATGAAAATAATATACATAAAAATTGTCAACAAATAGTTATTAACAAATAGTAAAATTTAAGAAATATAAAATGAAAGTTATTCACCAGCTGGATATATTTTAGCCAAATTTGCTTGAATATTTGGGTTTGAAGTAATGTCAGCAAACGACTGAGCTTCAGGAAAACCAAAATATTGTCTGGCCACATTATATAAAGGAATGCCTATGATAACGTTTATAATAAACAGGTTTGTTAAAAATATATATGAGAAGAAATTTAAGAAATTCCAAAGGGAAAATAAAATATTTTACCGCGATCTCTACTCCTTATGAGGTCAAAAGCAGCTAGATCATAAGTATGATGATCAGGGGCATTGGCAGCTTTAGTTGAATCAGAAAAAAAAATATCAACTTCTTCCTGACGTTGAAGAATCATAGACCAAAGTACAGTTTCTAAACCAAGCTCCGGCAAAAGTGTGAGATTTTTAATATCAATTAAAGCTAAATTATAAATAGCATTTCCGTATAAATCTTGAATTTGATAAAAATCGCTGAATATATTCAACAGAATTCTATTAGATACTTTCGGGAAAAAATAAAATGAAACTAAATTTGAGCAATATCAACCTTAATTCACTATGACCGTATCGAAAAGTAACGGTTGAAAAGAAAGTGTCAACACCTATCAATACACATATAAAGTTAGAAAACAAAAGATTAATGATGGCGTAACTTTATTATGAAATTTCTAACCTGGAGTAAGATTAGGATTATAGTTTTGATAAGCGGGTAAAGGACGACCTAGAATAGCACCAATATATTCCTCAGCAACAGCTTTTTGAAAGAAAGCAATAGTCCAACGCCTCTAAATAAAAAAATTAATTAATCATCAGCAAACTAATTTAATAAAATTAATAAAGAGGAAACTAACAAAGAAAAAGACTTACAGCTTCCTGAAAATATTGTTCATCAGTCCAGGAACTACCATGTAATGCATATAATTCATCACATAAACGGTTATGTTCTCGTATCCAAATTGTCTGGATAGCCAAAGTGAATATACTATATGAACGTTCCGAAGTTGCACCCCAAATATAAGAACCATCGGACGCGTTTATTGGAGGAAATTGTTGACCGTTGACAATAGAAGTCATCAATTTTCCTCTATTTGTTGAAGTATCACGAAGCCTGGTCATCGCGTCCTGATCACTAATACCATAAATATTATTTAGATCAAAAAAGGGAGTAACACCATTTATTCCACTAAAAGAAGGATTTTGGGTTGCAGGATTAGCGTCACCATTTCCATTAGATCGATTAGCAGGTAAAAAAGGTACAGTAAGTTGGTAAGGAGATATAGTGGTGTTTGGATTTGGATTATAAAATGGATCATCAGCAGGTAAGAACATTGGGTAATATGGATTTGTACTTTTTGAAGAAGTAATATCAAATGAAATATATTGGCCAAAGAAAGTAGCCTATAATATATTGTAAATAAAAAAGATTAAAATTTAGAATATAAATACAAAGATGTTTATAATTAACACAATGCAATTTTACTTATAACTTACGAAATGGCTAGTTCGTCTGAATGAACGATAACTTGATAGTGAGGCAGCATCGTAAGGTTGAACATGATAACTACATATTACATCTGATATACATCGTGGCATAGGATATTGCCCAGAAGGTACTTTATCAGTGCATTTAATAGTAGTCGGACCGCTCGGGTTTAAGCCAAGAAAATCAGTGGGCGACGTAACAGGAGTAGAATTCTGACTGAATTATAAATTAATTATTATTATTTGAACGCATTTAATTCAAGGATTTTATAGATCAATGATTGATTACTTGAAATTTAGAGTGCTAATGGCTCTCAAAAAAGGTTGATTCGGAGTTCCGGCGATCGAATTTAGAGCATTATTGTCACTACCGTCGATTAAACGAGCTTCTACGATAACGCATCGAAACAACAGGAATGAAACCCAATTTATAAAAAGAAATATCATTAACATTTGAGATATTAATATTTGAGTGTTTTTTTTTTTAAAAAAAAAAAGACTTATTTACGATTGTAAAAAAGTGAAAAACTAGAAATAAATGCTGCGCTATATATATACATCCATAGATGCATGCATGATCGGAGATCGGTATGTATACCTATTGATTAAAAAGTAGAAACACTACCATTTTTACATTGAGAAAATAAGTTTGGCAGTAATATCAAGGGCTGTTTTTTAGTGGCTAAGAATAATTTTTAAGTTGTTCCTCTTACGTATAAATCATTATGCTAAAGAATAATAATAGTTGAGTATATATAACTATTTTAATACTAAAATAGAAACACAAGAAAAAAAAAAAAAGTGGCCTTCCCAATAAGGTCTAGTTTATTAGATCAATTAAGCCGTTCGTAGCGAAAGTTAGGATCGTTACCAATTTTGTAAATAAAGTACAGTGAATACAGTAACGATAATGGTAAAAACATCAAGGTCAGTATCGATCTGTTTGTTTGAATATACTATATAATTATATATATGGTATATATATATTATTCAATTCAAAAGCATATATATCATGGAAGCAACAATAATTAAATTGTGAGGGACCAACATGAGGTTGGTCCAACGTGAGGTCAATTAGTGTTTTTTATGATTATTAATCATTGGCGGACTTTAAATACTAATTTACCTCACGTTGGAACCAACCTCATGTTGGTCCCTCCCAATTTTTTATTTTATTATTATTATTATATAATTAATAGTTATTGGTAACAATGACCAATAACGATAATTAATTCATTAATTTTCAATTTTAATATGCCATGCACTCATAGCTTAAATCAATTTAATTTTAGATTATTTATACAGTTTAAAGTACTTTTTAAAAAAAAGCAAACTACTACGAATAAACAAAAAAGAAGTATATAGAAAGTTTTATTAGGGTCGTAGGACTCCACTATTAAAAATAATCAAAATTCTTTTTTGTTTTAGAGAAGTTAGCATAATAACGACTTCTTAAAATTAGGTTATCACCGTGCTAACTTCTCTAAAACAAAAAAGAATTTTGATTATTTTTAATAGTGGAGTCCTGCGACCCTACTAAAACTTTCTATATACTTCTTTTTTGTTTATTCGTAGTAGTTTTCTTTTTTTTAAAAAGTACTTTAAACTGTATAAATAATCTAAAATTAAATTGATTTAAACAGCCAATCATACGAATGTCTGCCTATGAACTCAAGGACAGTGAAAAATATCGATTTATATCGATTTCATTGAATTGACCAATTTATATCGATTACTGCACCTACCAGCCAATCAAAATACAGGATTGGAAATAACGTGACCAAGATATTTTATACTAGAATAGAGATTTTTATCCTATAACCAGAAGTATAAATATTTGGGACACTTAAAGAAGAATGAACCCAGTGATCGTCACACTATGTCATTTGTTTACTATCACCTAACCCTAACACTAACCCTAACTTAGGCCGAGTGTTTAATCCTGTAATGTGATTATCACGAAGATATCACTGGGTTCATTCTTCTTGAAACTACCCTAAATGGGGGATATTCTGTATTGTTTAAATATGTTTGGTCTAAATATTTAAATTATTAAAAGTATTTCACTATATTGAATCTGATCTTCAAATAATTCATTATCGAGGACTTATTTGCATAGTGGCAAGAAGATTATAATGCGGATTTAGGATTTTTGAAAGTGGAATCAGATAGAGTTTGCGGAATTTTACCATATATAGCTCTAAAGCTTTGATCACTACAATATCAGATATTTATTCATTTAGTATGTTTATGTAGGAAATTTTATATAAAATACCATTACATGTATTTTATAGTTTATATTTAGGTCACAATTAAAATTTAAATGCATACATTATTAGATGAATTAAGGCTACCAACTTTTTGACGACACTGTAGAAACGTGTTATCATAATTTATGAAGCAATTTGGAATAAAAAACTAGAAAGACGTCCACCCGCAGCTAAGAGTGACAAAATTATGAACAAATTTTATCAGAGTTGTCCAAAATATGAGGAACAATTTAAATAAATAATGGAAGATGAGAAACTTATTCACCAATAAATTTTATTAGAATCGTCCAAATATGATGAACGATTTAAACAAATAATGCAAGAAGGATATTCACCTAATGGAATTGATAAAAGTAAATTAGATACAGACGATTTAGTAAATGAATGCAATAAAAAGTTATTTATTATGCCTAGAGTTACCGAAATAGGTGGTGCGTATTTCGCCGACAATCACTTCACCGACAGCTTAGTTCACCAACAATTACAGCTGTTTTCATAAATTCTGGGACACCCTAAAAAAATTTGCCGAAGTCTATTCGGCCGAATTCAATAAGTTATTGATTTCGGTATGATTAGTGCGTGATCAGTGTATAAAAATATTACATTCGCAATGTCAACTCTTTCAACACTTTATTATTTTACCTTATCCAATATGTACGATACAAAAGTTTATGGCAAAAATTGTTCTTGCCAATTAATAGATCTTCACTAAACATTAGTTGGACATTCTTAAAAAACATATAATAGCTTAGAATTTAAATAATCTATAAATAACCCCAAAATTTTATGCTTCAATTTCGTTTTGCGAATATTTTTATTATATAATTATCTTTGGAACTTATAGTATAGCAAACTTGTTTATTAAATACAATACAAAATCAAAGAAAATTTTGTAAATTTGACTTTTTAATATGTAACACTCCATATTACTCGAGTAGGCACTAATAAAAAAAAAAAGGTTAAATACGATCAGAGGTTATCAATTGGTTCTAAAAAAATGCAACGCAAGTAATTCATCAGCACAGCCATACTTTTGAAATTGCTTGAGAACTTGGCCCACAGAAGTCCGCTCTTTTCAACTATTTTCCAACGAATATGTTTGAAAAATCTTAGTAACAAATACATATCTGATATGTATTATGCATTTATATATGTATAGCACCGAGATAAATAGCTTATCGAATTCGGCCGAATAGTCTTTGGCAAATTTTTTTAAGGTGTCCCAGAATTTATGAAAACAGCTGTAAAGCTGTTCTCATAAATTCCGGGACATGATAAAAATTGCCCGATGATCATTCGGCCAAATTCGATAAGTTTTTGAATTCGTGTTATCGACATTGCTGTAATGCCGAAATCTAATACCGATAACGCCGAATTCAAAAACTTATCGAATTCAGCCGAAACAATTTTTATCGGTTGTCCCAGAATTTATGAGAACAGCTGTAATTCACATACAAGTTTATTTCACCGACAACATTTCACCGACAAAGCAATTCTGGTCATTGTTATTAGTGTCAGTTTAGAATTAGATTTAAGGTTGGAGTAATTTATTAAAAATACTTGTCGGTTAAATGAGCTGTCAGTGAAATAATAGTCGTGAAATGAACTTGTCTGTGAATTAATTGTCGGTGAACTAAGCTGTCTGTGAAGTGATTGTCGGTGAAATAACACGTATTCTACAGAAATAGCGTCCCTTACAAAAGATTATAAGTTATTGTTTTTATATGGTAAAGTATTGAAATAGTTATTGAATATGCTGATGAAAAAAAATCATTATCACAAGTTATGGGAAATAGTAAGTTTTTAGGTAAAAATTTCTAACAAAATGACAAAAGGCGAAACAAAAGACACTTTGGAAAATGTGACCTAAAATCGATAAAACATATTAAGTACAAAAATAGTAACATCAAACGAAGTTTAACTTCGAATGGGCTATGCAAAAATCTTTTAAAATGGGATTATAAAAATAATTTTATACTTTATTGTATAATCGAGATTATCGAGGCAATATTTAAGGTTTTTGCATAGTGCCCATGATGTTCCCGCACTAAATAAGTAACTTCATTCATATTAGATTGCAACTTAATATATTATTTATTAAATTGGATTTTTCAAAAATAAGTTACTTGTATATTTTACTTTAAAATAAGTTATCAATAAATTTTATTTAAAATCTGAATACAATTTATTTACGATTCAAGTTGTAAGTTATATAACTGTTTTATGTATAAATATGATTTAAAATTTTTTCATGAAATGGAGTCTTAAAGCATTCTCCTATTTGGATCATTCATAATCGCAATTTTGATTTTTTAAGCTCCAACTTATTTTGAATAAGGCATGAGCAAAAATAAACCAAAGTTCTGACGGACAGTCCTGCCTTAAAAGTTAGTTGGAGGTTTCAAAATTAAATCAGAGAATCATATTTATTTTCAAAATGCGCAGCGATTTTCTGATCGTACTACGTTACACCTGATCTTGAAATTTGATTAGCCCGTGAAATTTTTTAAGGTGGTGATATTACCTCATTCATTTACAATTAATTCGTTGTTAATCATAGTCAATTCGAAACATACGAACACTCTTAAATATCATGTCAAATGAAAAGAGCTTGCTAAACCTTTACAATAACTCACCTACAAAAAACACTATTTATGATGATAAAGATCAACTCGTTGATAATTCAAACCGAGTAGACTTATTATCGCAAGATTCACAGGAACTTCTAAATAGAGTTGTTGAAGAATTATGTGATTTATACTGTATCATAAAGAAACTATGAAAGGAAATTACGATGACTCAATTATTCATTCAATAGATCAATATTTAACAAATAAACAGCAAAATCCAGAAAAAATAATCAATTTATTACTTAATAACCAATCTAACCCTATTATTCAAACCAATTCTATCATTCAAGCTATACTTTCAATTTGTTACAATCGTGGCAAATGGGTTAAAAACGATAATCATCAAGCATTTATTCATTGTCAAAAATCGGTAGAGATGGGAAATTCTGGTGTAATGAACGCTCTTGGTTGTTATTATCAATATGGAATAGGAATTGAAAAAGATAATAATAAAGCATTCATTTGTTATAAAAAATCAGCAGATATGAACGATCCATATGGAATTGATTCTCTTGGTGATTGTTATCTCAATGCAATTGGTGTTGAAAAAGAT